CAGCAGGAAGAACGTCACTTCTGCAGTACCTGGTGTTCCTTGGAGGTCTCCCAGTAGTACATGAGCTTATTTTGTGTGATACGCTAATAACACCCTTTGGTAGAAAAACAAAGTAACCAAATCAAAGCAAAAGGTGTCATTGTACCTAATTTAAAATGTCAAAAAAACCCTGTGCAAATTATTGTAAGGTAATCCATCTAAAAATGTAAAGAGCTATAATTATAAATATATATATAAGATTGATTCTGTTCACAAGGAAAATTGATGGTGGCTTTAAATTATGTTCAAGAGTACATTTGACAAGTAATGACTTTTCAAAGTGACGTGTGTCTAATTGAATAAACGAAGTGGAGAGTTGTAATGACAAGGTGGATGAGCTGGAGAAATTTATTCAGAAGAGAGTGCAGACAGTGTTTGTACGGACATCCTGAACTGCTGCAGTAAATAGTCTAATGTACGTCTTTTAGTCTGTGATAATAGAGGAGAAATGTGAAGGACCAATTTTTCAAGGTAATGACAGAATAAATCAGGTGCAATAGTGCACTGTGCTGACTTGTAGAATTCCTCTGATGAAAATTATAGAACTCAGCTATTTCAGGCAAAATTATGGTGCCATGATTGTCATAAATGATGTAATCATAGGAAAGGGGATTTTGTGTACTGTTAATGCATTCTGGCTTTAACTATGCATGAAAAATACGTTCTCTCTCTTTTGATTTAGATTGCTTACTTAGATTACTTGCCGTTAAGTTTCCATAAACCATTTTTATTCTTCCCTGTTTTATCATGTATATTGGTTTTACAATCTCCTAAATTTTATAACATTAAAAAGTAGTGAAGACATCTAAAACATTTAAAGAGGAAAACAAAGTATTTTTTCTCATATCTTTCAGTATACAGAGTGCATTTTGGGGCTGAGGAGAGAAAGAGGAATACATCTTAAATTTCTTCTAAGCATCTCAAAAGAGAAATGTATCCCTTAGCCACAAACTGCCTTTGAAACTCTGGGCATGCAATCAATAAAACACATATCACTCTCAAGTACAAAGTGACATGTGGTTTACATGGATTATACCACGAAAAGACATATTGTGACTCACGAGTATAACCGTAACAGCTGACCGTTGGTAGAGTACACCTCAATGGATTCCTTGAGAGATATAATAATGAGGGTCCTGACAACATTTTGACACACTGTAAAGTCACACTTTTTTCCCTAAGCCTGAAGATTTAACATAAAGCATGCGTTTTTCTTCTCAGATTTCCTATGGAGGCTATAAGGAAGAAAAATACTGCTGCCACATCACTTTGTCTTCACGAAATTATTGTTCCTTTCATGCCTCAAAGCAGAATTAAGTTTAAGAGGCAGGTTGGCCTGGCATCACATTTTTTTTGTTGTTTTGACATTTTTAATAACTGCCTATAACTGCAGACATGATATTGAGGCAGACTTTGTTGCCAGAGGTACATTTTTGTTGTGAGCTGAGTAAAGAGCCTTTTATAATGTAAAATTGAGGCAATCTCCAACTTTTTGAAGTAGCTCTTTAATTAATATTTACAATTTCCAGCAGTAATCCACTTTAGATTACATTTGACATCATATTCATAATTAGTTATAGTAGGACTTTAGAAATACAATTTGCAAATATAATTTTTTCTTTTTTAAAATATGTGCACAGTTAGAATTTCAGTCATTTCTGGGGAATTTCAAAACTGTAAAGATTTAGGAACAGAGACCTTGATTTCATTCAGTACACCTTGCGTTTCCTTCAACGGGACAATTTTTATTCTGAATTATAACTATTAAAATTACTAACATTTAAAAATAAGAACGCCTGAAATCTTGTTTGAGTTTGAAATGCTAGTATATGTAGTGTTTCTGCTACATTTTGTGGACAAGACAATTTAATGCTTTGTGTGTCTATGACTTAAATATAACTATAAATGTTTTAATAAAGTTCTGTTACTTGTAGTGAGGAAAATATGGTGGTGAAACAATAAAAAGTCCATTAAATCACATTACTCAACTAAAAGAACATTTAGAATACTTATGCATCATATTATGTACATACATTCAAAGTTCTTATAAACTATTTTTTATTTTGTGTTTTTATATTTTATCTGCCAGGAATCCTCTACAAAGGAAATGGTGAAAATCAATTTATATCTCAGCAACCACCAGTTGTTAGTAGCATTATGGGCAATGGAAGACGACGCAGCATCTCCTGTCCAAGTTGTAATGGTCAAGCTGATGGTAATAAATTATTGGCTCCGGTTGCCTTGGCTTGTGGGATAGATGGCAGTCTTTACGTGGGGGATTTCAACTACGTTCGGCGGATATTCCCATCTGGAAATGTAACTAGTGTTCTGGAGCTAAGGTACGTTTTTTTCTCATCTTGGACTTTTGGAGTCATGAATTACTGTTGCAAACTAAAGTATTGAATAGATTTCTGATACTCTGCAAGTTGGAGTTTGCAAATGCTTTTGGGAGCAAAAAAAGTTGAGGCACAAGATTTTAAAACATTTGGAAAAGTATTTAAAACTAAAGTGAAAAAATTTTACCCTGGTAAAATATTTTAACTATGCTTATCTAAACTGTGAGAATTTAATCTACCCAAGATAATTATTCTGTGGATTTTAAGAGTTAACCTACATCATCGACATGAGTGGACAAAAGATGATCATTCACCACTTCACTAACCATAGATGTAAATGTTGCCTTCTTTTCATCTTTTAACATCCTTTCTGAATGTTTTTCTAATAATGTTTTTCTGTTCTTTTTTACTTGCTCCCACCAAGAAATAAAGATTTTAGACATAGGTAAGCATTCCTTAAAGAAGATTTGTATTTTTCTAACTGTTCTTTTTTCTTTTTTGAACAAATGAATGCTTATAATGGAGAAGTCATTTCTGAGATGTATTCCTAGAAAAGAGGAGTATTTTTCAAAAATAATGAGCTCATATGTTTTAGTTATGTCAGCTGTCAGACTGTATCGTCCTTTCGGATACGAGTTCCTCTTTTCTCATCACTCTTTGTCCGCAGTCAGGCTTCTTTTTATGCTTGTGTGTGCCCTCCTTTGCTGTCCCCTCGTCTCTGCTCACTCCTATTCCTTGCTCACAGCACTTTTGCTGATCCTATCGCAACTCATTCATTAATCTGATACCCCAAATACGATGAGAATGGCATATAAGCAATAAAATTATAAAAGTACCGCGTTCACTTCATTAGCTTTTCAATGTTGTGTCTTTTCAGGCTCACATTTAACAGATTTGTTTCTTTAAAGGTGAACTTCTCTTAATAATGAAAGTTGAAATTGTCCCATAATAACACAGTTCCGGGAGTTAAGATTTTAAAGTACACCAGGATTTGTAAGACTGGTCATAAAAACAATGGCAATCAGAAGGATTGCAGTACAACGTTTGTCTGTCCTGGCATCGCTGCAATAGGGGCAAGAACGGAGAAGATGGATGCTTAGAATTGCTTTGCCACAGCAGCTGGTGCTGATAAGGAGACAAAAAGAGAGTTACGCTAAAATCATGTTGAATACATGAAACCCTGCAATGCTTTGTGGTGGAACTGCTAAGTATAGGGCTTAGCAGCCCCACTGGTCTCCTTTTTTGCTGCCAATCGTTTTCTTTCTTTGTTTTTAAACAAATCCCAGAGAGTCATATCTCAGTTCTCCTTTTTTGAAAAATTCAGTTTGCATTGGACATACTTCTTTGTGAAGAGTTTTATGTTTAAAAAAGTTTGTTTCAAATGTGTCAGGCAAAAAGTTCCATTACTAAATAAGGTGTTTGCATCAGTGCTAATGATCAGATTTGGGAGTTGATGCACACTCTAGCTGGTTTTATGTTATTTTCCAGGTGTGACTGAGAGGCAGTCTTTTCTATTTGGTGGGTTTAGGTTTTCACTATTACGTTTAATTTGCATTTGTTCCACTACTGTTAAAAGAATTCTATCCCTTGTGGTATCACAAAGTTGTGATTGCAGCTGGATAAGACATTGTCTTGGCAAACGTGTGGAATACGGAATAATACTCAGAGTGGGAATTTGGAACAGACAAACAGGATTAAGGGATGGACGTGTGGTGAGGTTTGTTTTGCTGTGATTTCGTAGCGATGCCTTCTCCTGCCTCTGGCAGAACCGTGGTCACAGGTTCAACTGCGGCGTTTCAGAAACGCGATCCCTGCATGTAAGAAAAGTTGGTGTGGGAGAACATTGAAGCTTTTCTCCTTTATTCAAGCCTACACATGCAGAAGCTCCAGGTAGCAAAATTGCAATCATACTCCACAAATTAGTGTAGCAGCATTTTCAGGGGCCCATATGGCGGCTGTGCAGTGGGGGTTCCTCCTGAGGCGGAAGGCGGCATAGAGGACCGTGGAGAAGTGGCTCTGCGGGAGCGGTTGTGGAGCCCATGGGCAGGTGGTGTGGAGCCCATGGTGCAGCCTGGCACGGGCTACTACGAGTTTGAGTTTTCTCTCCCATCATACATTTTCCCAGTGTCCACTTGTAGCATTAATGGTTTGCTGCTCAGGGGTTTCCTAAGCCAAGAGTGGCATCTTTATGCTTAATATCCCCTGACAGCTTTTTAGTCTATTAATTTAGCTGATTTTTATTTAACGTGTGTAAACTTTTAGGATCCACCAAATCCTGTTGCCATGGGCTCCTCAGCTGAAGGACACACAGTCAGATTAAGTAGCTTCTTTTGCCTGCATGAAGTCATGGAGAGCCCTGTTAAATGCTGCGGAGATGAGAGAAGCACATCTGTCTGGCCTGCAAGAGAGAGCAGGGCAAACTGTCCCGTCTTACTGGCAAACCCTTCAAACTGCTGAGGACATTTCTATTTAAACTGCAGTTTGGGAAAACAGTCCTCAACAGACCGCATTGCAATATAGAATTATTAGGTATCAAAACTAAGAAAATGCACTAAAATACGCGTTCCCCAGGTAAAACTAATGAACGGGGCTACGTACTAGTTCAGATCTATTACCTATTCAAGCATTCAGCTTTCCTCGCCGATGAACACAACACTTCAGCACAGAGAGTGATGTGCCTCCCACCTCAAGGAGCCTGTACTCTAAATTAGAGAGACAATGCAGATCAAATTTATCCTCTCATGTACCAGTGACCTAACATTTTTTCAATCTCAAAGCTGAACTGATGTTGTTATACACACTGCTGCCTGTGGGTGATTAATGCTGATAGGCATTCACGGAAGAGGTAATTTTTAGAAGGACTTTGAAGACAGGGAGGTCATTTGTAGGCTATGGCGATATCCCAAGTCTGTAGAGAGCCAGAAAAAAGTTTAGTGAAACATAAAAACAGTTTTGAGGGTACATGGTTTAGAAGGCAGAGAGCGAATGGGAGAGAGTCAGGGTCTGAAGCAGGAAGAGTATTTTTAAAAAATTTGTGCATGGAGAATAGTGCAGGTGACCTGGCAGCTGAAGAATTAAAAGATCGGCATAAGCAAGGTGAAAGCAATGGAAAATAGATCATTACAGCTCTGTGCGTGTGTGCGCGCACTTTAAATTCAAATCACTTACTGTTTGGCCCGGACAGAACAAGTTAATTTGTAGTCATTTGTCTTTACAGGAGCCCATGTTGGTATGGAAGTGCATGTTTTGCAGAGCTACTGACAGTGATTAGGTGATACTGAATGAGTCAAGAAGTCACTGACTGTGGATTTTATTTCTTTGCATTTGTTGTTATTGGTCGAAGGCAGAAGCTTAATATCATTTCAGGCTACAATGAAATAGAATAAACTGTGCAGCTTTCCAGCTGCTGGCTGCTTATCCCTGTACTGTTTTTGAAATCTGCATAGTGCACATGGATGTTTTCTGGCTAGAAAATAAATGTGCTGTTCACTGGAGAGTCCTTCAGTTCCTCAAATTGTGCCTCGGTCCTGTGAATTAATGGGGGTTTTCTATCAGCTAAAGCTACCTCAGCTTTTTAACCTTCACTTGAAAAGAAACGCTGAAGTTAAGCCTGTTGTGTTATCTCAGAAAGGAGCCATTAGACATCTACATATGACGAGTTGGAGAGTTTATATTGATTCAATAATAATATCCTAGGCACTCCCAAACTTTGGGGTTTGGGCTTTTTTTTCCACAAAATGAGAAAATATTCTTAAATTATCAGCTGTATATTTTGTTTTGATGAGGATACACTACTTACTATGAGAACTCATCCCAAATAAGAACAGCTTCATCATTTTTGTTGGAATTAATTAGAACATAGAAACTTTTTTATAGTTATGAAGAAAACAGTCTTAAAAATTTGTTTTAGAAAGAAAGAATTGTGTTACACATAAATTATTTAGTTACTGATTTGATGATTCTTTATTCCAACAAGTGAAAGATATGATTGAGGCAATGTTAGATGAGTTGAAAAGAGGTACTTTAATTTAGATTTCAGTAGTATAAGAAAGGACTTTATTTTAAATTGCAATGAAATAAAATTTAATTGCACATGTCACATTTTGCGATATGTTTATATTTGAAGTGTCTGCAAAGTTTCTTAAAGACCAAAGCACTCATGTAAATGGGTATAATTTAATTTGCAGTCTATAGAGGTATAAACAATTCGTACACTACATAGCGATCATATTAAATGATCTCTGCAATAATTAATATTTCGAAAATTTATTCAACTATTTAGCACATTGGCAATAATAGATTTCTAACAGACAAATTTAAAGTAAGCCTACATTTGATTGTTTTCAGACATGCTTTACAACACTCAGCTCTACAGCAGAGCTTTTTAAGAGGTGCTAATCACCGTGTATTTGATTTCATTAGTCTGCTTCACTTGGTTTCTTCGTTCTGAACCAGTATGTTAAAAGTCTTAAAACCAACGAAAATCCTATTTATGCAACACATTTTTTCTGTGTTGTTTTGATTGGATAGCTATAAAAATCTCTCCCTGCTAAAAGACATAATTTGTTCACAAGTTGTTCCTGTTGGTCTCTTGTTGCTTTTTTCCAAGTGGCAGTACATAAAAATGTGTTACATTAGCACAGTTATGTATTTACAAAACGTGAAGTATAGCATTCTGCGAACAGATGTTTGGCTATCGCCAAGGCTGGTAGGATCTGTTTAAGCAGCGCTTTTGCAAACGTCAGAAGCGGGACTGACTGTTCGATGCTTTGCTTCAATCCATTAGGAGAGCATCTGAAGTTACCTCCTGTATTTACATGACCTTATTTCAGCTCTTTGTGCCATAAATTAGGTCAGGAATCCCAGCTGCAGTGGGTTAAGTTTCTACATCATCATGTATCAACCCAAAAGGTACTCTCCGGGGCTGGTTTCTTCGCCAGCAGGGGAGAAAAGACAATAATTCTCAATTATGTGGCACCAGTGGAGAAGGAAAATGTACGTTTCTGGGAAAATGGTTAGCAATATATATTTTCACTGTAATAAGGATGGTGTCGGCATAGTTAGCGGTTTTGTGCCAATGTGTACAGTTACTTGAAATATGAGTCTGAGTTAAGAAGAACGGAAAAGCTCCGCTCGGTGCTCTGGTGGAAAAGATGACATTTCCTAATGCGTTCAATCATGCGTATCACCTTTTTCAAAGCAGAAGATTAAACAAATACTTAGGAAGGATATCTTATCTCTTCCCTGTGAACTAATAATATGAACTCTGCCTTATCTGTTTATGAATTATGTAAACCATGCACCCCAGCAGCCTTATATAAATTGTAATAAAACAGATAGGATGATAACAGCAACAAAGTGTAAGCAAGGGCTGGGGGCCTGCTGCAAAGTTTGGAACTGGATCGAGGTTGCCAGAAAGCCTGGGAGTTCTTAGACTCCGGTGTTTTGATTTCACCTATTACAGAGACAGGAGCTGTCTCTCGTTACAGAGTGTGGAACAGGCCTGTGAGCATCACGGACAAAATGGATCTTCTGTCCCAAAAGGATGAGTAGTTTAGATCGGGCTGCCTGTGACACAGACAAGAAGCGTGAACCAAAAAAGGTTTTGGGGCCATGACGTGTGCTACCTATGCCTAGAGCATCACCATTGAGTTTAACTATTTCTGTATTACTGCACACTGCATACAAACTGAAGCCTTCGCTTCTTGATGCGATGTTAGGTGCGATTAATTACAGCATATGCAATGTATAATTCCATTTTACAGCAACAACCCAGCTCACAGATACTACCTCGCAACTGACCCCGTGACAGGAGATTTGTACGTTTCCGACACAAACACACGCAGGATTTATCGGCCCAAGTCGCTCACGGGTGCGAAAGACCTGACCAAAAATGCTGAGGTAATAGGAGGAACAGGGGAGCAGTGCCTACCGTTTGATGAGGCAAGGTGTGGTGATGGAGGCAAGGCGGTGGAGGCAACTCTCATGAGCCCTAAAGGTAAAAAGAGTTATCCCTCCGTAACTTTCAAACTAATACAAAAGTTCAGAGCCGGGGGCATGATGGTGTTTAATTACTGAGCTCAGTAGTTGACTCAAAAATACGGTTTTGAGTAATTTTTTCCAGCCACTGAGGAAGACAACTACAGGGGACCTGGGTTGATTTTTTAGGAAATATTTGGCTTGCATGGTTGTTGAGCATTTTTAAATGCTTATTTAGATTATGTGTTTGGCAGGCAATGGTGAGGATTTAAAATCAGCATTGCTTTTGGTCCCACTTATCCTATGTTTCAGGTTAACTTAAAAGCTAGGCCCTTCTCAACACACAACAGCAAATCAACAGCAAAGGCAATCAACAGTAGTAGATTTCATACTGAATAGCGGTTTATTGTGTAAAATACGTTTACAAGCTGTTTCACTACTTACTGCCTAAGACCAGATTTTCTGCCCTTAATTTCCACTAGATACATACCATTTATGCCCTTAGTTATGGATAATATATTCACTGCTAGTACAGAAAACTGATTTTTATTCTCTTCACTAAAGGAATAGCAATCGACAAGAATGGGTTAATCTACTTTGTTGATGGGACCATGATCAGAAAAGTGGATCAGAACGGAATAATATCCACTTTGCTTGGCTCCAACGACCTGACCTCAGCACGACCTCTAACCTGTGATACCAGCATGCACATCAGCCAGGTACTTTTTAGCTGCTGCTAATTTGGAAAGCCAAACTGGGGCTAGAAATGCAAATGCAGCTTTCTTGCCCCTTAAAATAAAACTGGGTGGAGTGCATAATGGATATTTAACAGCAGAATTTGGGGAGAAAAAAACCTGCTCCAAGGACATGAATCACAGTGTATTCTCTTAGCTATAAATGCTGCTGTATTCAATTTTTCTGCCCATAAAGTTCAGTTCAGTTTAGAACAGCAGAACTATCAGCAGGAAACATTAAGTCTGGTAGTAAATACTGGGAGAATGGCAGATCTGTTAGAACTATCTTGGCATGTTGATGTTTTCTGAATCGCTAACGTCCTTAGCCTGCTAGAGTGAATGAGAGGATATATACCAAACCCCATATTTTTCTATTTATCTCAAGAAGCTTGTGTAGGTGAGAAGGGACATCACTAGTGGTATGTTTAAAAATGGAGTACAGTACAGTGTTTCGTAATCTGGATGGTAGTAAGGTTTTTTGCCATTACAAGAATAAAAGATGAGTACTGTCCTTAAAGTACGTATTTAGACTTTGACATCTGTCTCTATTTTTATTTATGCACTTGCGTTACAGAAAAGTATAGCATTTACTGGAGGGGAGATTCAACCTGTATTATAGTTCCCGTGCAACTGGCATTTTTTCAATAAAATAGATGCCTGAACATTGTTCCCCTTGCCTCCCTGAAAAGCTTTGGTTTGCTGCATGCATTTTCATACAAGTCCTTTTGTCATGATTGCTTACAGCAGGTTAAAAATATCCTTAGAGCAGTGTCTAAAATGGAAGCTGAATTAATTCATTTAATCTGCCCTGATTAACTGTTTACCAAAACCCTTCTGTTTGTTAAGGTTCGTCTGGAATGGCCTACAGATTTAGCTATCAACCCAATGGATAACTCCATTTATGTTTTGGATAACAACGTAGTTTTGCAGATCACCGAAAACCGTCAGGTTCGCATTGCTGCGGGGAGGCCAATGCATTGCCAGGTTCCTGGAGTGGAGTACACGGTGGGAAAGCACGCTGTGCAGACCACGCTAGAGTCAGCAACTGCCATCGCCGTCTCCTACAGTGGGGTGCTTTACATTACAGAAACTGATGAAAAAAAGATTAATAGGATAAGACAGGTCACAACTGATGGAGAGATCTCATTAGTTGCTGGAATACCCTCAGAGTGTGATTGCAAAAATGATGTCAACTGTGACTGTTACCAAAATGGAGATGGCTATGCTAAAGATGCCAAACTTAATGCCCCTTCCTCCTTAGCTGTGTCTCCGGATGGCACCCTCTATATTGCTGATCTGGGAAATATTAGGATACGGGCTGTGTCAAAGAACAAACCCGTATTGAATTCAATGAACTTTTATGAAGTTGCTTCTCCAACTGACCAAGAGCTTTATATCTTTGATGTCAATGGTACTCACCAGTACACTGTGAGTTTAGTCACCGGAGACTATCTGTACAATTTTAGCTACAGTAATGACAATGATATTACTGCAGTAACGGATAGCAATGGGAATACTCTTCGTATCAGACGGGATCCCAACCGGATGCCAGTAAGAGTAGTCTCTCCTGATAACCAAGTCATCTGGTTGACGATAGGCACTAACGGATGTTTGAAAAGCATGACTGCACAAGGGCAGGAGCTTGTGTTATTTACCTACCACGGCAACAGTGGACTTCTGGCAACTAAAAGTGATGAGACTGGATGGACCACGTTTTTTGAGTAAGTACTTAAAGTAAAGTCAGATGCATTACAGCTTTGTTGAGTTATACAGTACCATTGGAAATATTTCTGGAGACAGATGAAGTAGCTGTGAAGATGACCTTTGATAACAAAAAGCAGAGAAAGATACTTTTTGTTTCTCGTGCTGTCTTCCTCTGTCTGACTTCTTCCAAACATTGGATCTGAATAATTTTTAATTCATTATTTTGAATTTCAGGTTTATATATTGAAATAACAGTGAGACAGCGTTTCACTTTTGTCAAGAAAGCTGTAACTCAGACAACCACAATTTTGTAGATTTGCATCAAAAACTAGATTTTCATCCTATTTGCTCATTAGATTGAAATTGTTCTGCAGCAAATACTGACAAGAAATTTGTCTTCACTGCTAAGTATTTTTTTTGTTTCTTTTTTCCTAAGTAAAAGCATGTCTGCATTGTCTTTTACCCCCCAAAAAAGGCTGGGTGGGTGTTTTTTTTGAAGTTGTAAAAGGTTGTGTTTCACTGAGTGGCAAATATGCAGGAAGGATCTCCTGGACGACACAGCAGGCTTTCACATGGGTGGACTCGGGCGGAGGAAGGTGAGAACAGAAATGTGGGCTGTGGGGGGAAGGGTCATTCATGTAGAAATAAACGGAAAACACAGAGACCACCAGCAACGTGTGGCGTACAGGTGCAAGCACAACAGCAAGAGCTATTAGTGGAACAGTACGACTTGTAATTTTACCAACCTCAGAAAAAATCTTTTCACTGAATTGCTTTATCCTGCATTACAGTCATTAAGTCATCAATGCCTGTTCATAACAGCCAGATTAGCGAAACGTTTTACAGAATCCTCAATTATATTGACTAAGGAAGGTCATGACAATTTATAGATAAACGAGTAGAACCTGAGAGTTCACGTGGGGGTTTTATAGGCAACTTCATCCCCAAATGAGCTGAACTACAAACTGATACGCCAAACAAAACGTAACAAAAATGCAGCTTAAAACACTATTTATTTCAGAAAAGATCAATGTAAAATTAACACAGATTTTTTTCAGTAATCTCTGTCAACTGGAAGAATATATGTATTTTTAAATGACAGGAAAGACATGCTAAGGTTCGGTAAAAATGTGTCTATGAAAGAGAGCTAGTATGACAAGTAAAAGTGTTAGAGGGCCCTCAGCTGAAGTATTCAGGATTACAAAGGGCATCATGAAAATCCAGTAAGTCCCTCTTCTTTTTCTTCCCCCCCCCCCCCCGCCCCCTCCCCTCG